TAGCAGTCCTTAATAGCCACAAATTTTTTTAACACGTTATTTTTGTTGTAATTAATTAATCGTAATGAAAGTCCCACCCCTAATAAAAATTCATCCCCTTATTATCAACAGCAAAATTAGCTATAAAGACCAAAACATTTCTCTGTACCAGGCTGTAAACGTGTCTATTTCTGCAGTAAAGTTGGACGTTTTACGTGGGCGTCTGTGGGGGTTCAGTGGCTTTCACAGCCAGCCTCAAGTGGACATTTGAGGAACTGCAGTTTACGCACTTATGCATTTCTCTGACGAATCAGATGGAGACTTTGGGCATAAGCCTGACATTTTTTTCTGTGCATTTCACACAGTTTTCTCCTCCACTTTTGCTCTCTACATGTTAGCTACACCCTTAGCTCTGAGATGTAACATCAACCTCTTAGCCAAAGCTGTTTTTTTTTTTGATAATGAAGTGCAGCCAGACCACTATGCAGCTCTGTGGGGGTCCGGCTATGAAAGAGGACTTCTGTATTTGCTTTATTTTCAGCTTCAGAGGTTGTTGTTTAGCCCCTATGTGGTATCCAATAACACTAAAATTCCCCTGCACCGTTTGTTCAACCTTTTTCTGGCTGTTAAATGACCTGAATGTTTAGGCTCCAGCTTATGAAGCAGGTTTCTTACAAATATTTGAAGTCTCTGCAAGGACCTTTGCAAAGAAAATAACCCAGATGATCTCATCTTTAGAAAGGTCCTCCAAAGCTACACACAAGAACAGTTTTTAGGGGCTAAATTGAGCTTTATATTTAAACATGCTGCTTTCACAGTGGGCAAATGTTATTTTACAGCAGCACAGACGAGGATGGCAAAGTTTTGTTTCAAGGAATCTGTTGGCTGGTGTGTAATAAGCAAATAAGACTTCTTCTTCTTCTTCTGTCTCTCTTCTAAAAGTCTAGTTTAGTTTGTTTTCCGCCTCAATAAAAGATCATGTTCAGTCCTATTTTTATAATAATGTGTAGGGTATGAATTCACATATCTGTTTTTTCTTTCCTATATCTCTATTTATAACCATCCAGACTACAACAACATAAAACCACCGACCCACAGCAGAGCCACAGGCAGCAGCAGCATCCAGGTTTAGTCTGAACGCCTATAGCAGCTCAGTCTGCTAGCTTTGCAGCAGGTCATCTGTGCTTGTTGGGTAACAGCGGTAATGAGTGAAATTGTGAGGATTTAGGAGTGAAATGGTCATTCATCCCTGACTCCTGATGCGCAGTCAGGAGGACCAGCCGTGCGTGTAGCGCTGCTCCTGAACGTCTCCTCCCCTGTTTCTGCAGTGTTACTGCTTTTTCTTCTCGCTCATCGTTTGTTGTGCCAATGCTGCCCACCGCCAGAGTAAGACAAGACTTCCATTTGCATAACACCACACTCCTCTTTTCTTGTCTGCCACCATCCCTCTGCTTGATTTCCATCTCGTCCTGATCCGTGTGCTTTGCGTCCTCGCAGTGCTTCACCATTCATTCACGCCTACTCTCATGTGCAGTCCTCTTTGGTTCTTTGCGTTTTTCCAGCTCAGGCAGAAGAGCTGGGGGATTTTTTTTTTCTTCTTTTCTTCCACTCAGTTTATTTTTTTCGGACATCAAAAACACCCTTAAAGCCTTTCTTTTTTTTTTATTTAACAGGCAGTTTTGGAAGAATTTCTGACTGATACAAGCGGGACGAATGAAGACAGAGTCAGTAATTTAATTTATTATTTTACGCATCAACAATCGCACGTAGTCTGGAGAGGATAAAGCTGGAAACGCATTGTGGTTTTCTGAAAAAAAAAAAAAAATTACTTAGCTGTGCGGAGGGTGTCGCGGCGGTGGAACGAGGGGGATTTAATGAGAGGAACTAATCCGACTGTGTTAAGTTTGCTGAGGTAGGGTACCTGTCAGGGGAGGGGAAAAGAATAGCGAAGAAGAAGAAGCACCGTGGAAAAGCTACGCGTCATTTCCAAGACACCAGCGCAACAAGCCAACACCATTACACCAGCCTGCTGTGTGAATGGCACACGGGGTGTCTTCCTCTGTTGATCTGGTGCAGGGTGTCCACGCTGTGACCAGCATCCAGCTGACAATCTGGGCTTTCTGTGAGTATCCGTGGGACTGCTGTGCGCACCAAATGGACCAGTCTATTTATCCCCCATGCATAGGCTGCTGCTGCTGCTGCTGCTGCTGCTGCTACTGGGATAATCAGCTTTTTATCTGCATCTGAAATCTCCAATAATCGAGTTGTTTCTGAATCCATTCGCAACTTAGCATTCTGAGTCTGCAATGGTTGGTGTTTAATTAGTGCTTCCCCCTCCAGCTGCCGATTCCAGCCGCTCACATATCTGGCTTTTAATAAGCTTCTTGCAAACTCTCTAATGTGGAATCCTCTCCAGCCAGTTTTCACGGCGATTATACAACTCTCTCTTTACAATCTGTTTAATTTGAGATAACCTGTCTTTCCACAGAGCAATATGAAAGATAAGTTCATCTCCTGAGGCCACAACTTCCACACTGGGTTGACTCACTGACAACTGCACCCAGGTGAGTAATGCAGTTTCTTTCAATATCAAAAAATAGGAGGTATAACTGTATACCAAAAATAACAATAATAAGGCATATTCCTGTGTGAGCATCTTGTTTTTTCCTCCATTCTGCTGAGCTCTAAAGGCTGCATGCAAAAACCAGCAGCACTTGTCATTTCTGCTTAGATTTCTGTCTATTGACAGCGGCTTCTGTGCAGCACCGGGTCTCAATGAATTCCTGTTTCTTTTTTTATTTTTTGTTTAGACACAGTTTCTGCTTCATTTCCCTTCTGTTTGTTATTTTAATGACCTTTCATTCCCTAAATAGTGGAGATGGCATTCATGAGGAGTCTCGGCACAAATTGAGACTGCCACCATTTGAAAAAGACACACACACACACACACACACACACACAAAACAAGAGCAGGCATCAAAGTGTGACTCATTATGTACAAGTGTTTACTTGCCAACCTTACACCTCTGCTTAGCAAACACGAACATGTTTGAGGAATAAATCATTTGAATTTTTTATTTAGGTCAGAGGACTTTTTTTTTCTTTGAATAATTTTGGATTTATTTGAGGGTTAAATGAGAAACTCTAAGAAATGGAAAAGTGGCATCTTGCTGAGCTCGTCAGTGGTTGATGAGGACTAAATGTTGAACCGAGGCTTTTAATCAAGAGCTAAATGTTAAATGTGAGACAGCTGTAGTTTGGTAGTGGTTGGAGGGAGGGAGGGGAGGGTTGCATCCTTAGAATCCATGAGATATAAGTTTGAGCTTTGGTATTAGTGTTGACTAAAAATAAAGCATTCTCCGGGGGAAACAGAGCAGTGCACCTCTGCTGCAATTAAACGCAGACCTGACATCTGAACCTGTCTCGTCTTCGTCGCCGGCTGTGAGCAGCTGGTTTGTGACATAAATACCTGTACCTTGTTAGTTTGTTGCTGCCAGGTGATGTCAGTGAAGAGTGCATGTCACCGAGCGCTCTGTGGCTAAAGCAGATGGAAAGACACAGACGCTTTTTGTCTCTATAGTATTGCCACACAAAAAAAATCCTGCATTTCTACCAGTTGGCAGGCGTGCGTTTGCCATAGAAACATCACCCACTCAAAATTTGTGCAGGACTGTGCGCCAATTGTGTTATATATTATTTATTTGTTGTTGATAGTGAGGGAATCAATGACAGTATGAGTATATATATATATATATGTATGTCACAGAAGTGTGCTGTGGAATATTGAACTCTCTGGATGATGGAGTAAACACACAATCGGTTGCAGGAGTCGCTGTCCATGGTGCTGATCTTGTGCTGCTGCTGTTTCCCTCAATCTGTCCGGCAGACAGGTGTCGAGCTGTTGCACAAATACAGAGCTGTTAGTCATTTATTTATGAGCTCATGGGGAGAAAAAAATGACAACTTAATTTTTGCATCTGTGCTGCTCTGCTTCACCCTGAAACCTTGATGGGAAAACGTGCTCTCCTGTTATGCAGGTCAGAGTGGAGAATGCAGCTTTTTCTCTGCTGCATGTCAATGAGAGCGTTTGTGGCACACATAAAGCATTGTCAAATCTCCTCTGCTGTAGGTAGGCAACCTATTTTTGAGACGGAGATGGTCTTGAAATTTTAATTAGGAAGCACCCGATTACGTTACGTGGCGTTTCCCCCCCTCTCTCTCTCTCTCTCGGTGATGCAGATGTTAATCCTCTGGAAAGTGTTGATGCTGTACTCTCTGAATTGTTCACTCAAGCTGCTAAGATGCTGCTGCCAAGAAAAGCACTGTGGAATTATTTTAAGTTGTCCCCTGACATATTTTAGATGGCTTACGTAAAATGCAAAAAAAAAAAAAAAAAGAAGCTGTTTACTGTGTTTTAGCATTAAACAGTATATTATACAGTAGAGCTGAGCCGCACGCTGCATTTCTAAGAGACGCTAAAATTGTTTTTCCCTTTAAAAAGTATCTATATCAATAGGCCTGCTGAAGAACAACCGCTCTTTTATTGTTATTCTCATTGTCAGTGGAGATTATTTTTGGAATCCCATCCAACTTGACAGTACATGTTGGACTGAGTCAGTTTTTCCCTCGATACTACAGGTGCAGAGGGTAACATTTTTACTGCTGCTGAGCACAGAATGACCACATTATATGTGTGGGAGTCGGACAGGGTAGTTCAATACCAGTGACTCAACGATTAGTAGGTGCCAATATTTCTGGCTCTCCAAACTCGGACCAACCAAACTGTTGGATCCCACGTCATTTGCATACAAAAGAGCGTGACTGTGAGCACTTTTGGCGATGTTAAACCTCGCCTTGTAGAGGCTATTTCAAAAATAGAACTCTGAATAATGAACTTGTGACATGTTCAGTGTGGCTATCTCATCCACCACGCAAATGTCTTTCTCTTCTGTCTTTTCAGAGGTGTATACGAACCTTCACATGCGCTGATCTCCGCCATCGGAAGACACCATCGCGCCACCATGTTTCTGCACAAGCGGATCTTGAGCTACACTCCACCCGCCAGCCCCTGCATGTTCATCCCCGCTCTGCTGGTCCTCCTCCCGGGGGTCACTCACTTCTCCTACGGAAGTGCCGGCCACGAAGACAACGGCAGCACACCGAGAAACTGCTCCAGTGAGGACAACTGCTCGGAGGGGGTGGTCCTGCCCATGTGGAACCCGCAGAACCCGGCGGTTGGCGACAAAGTTGCGCGCGCCATCGTTTACTTTGCAGCGCTCATATACATGTTCCTGGGCATGTCCATCATCGCCGACCGCTTCATGTCTTCTATCGAGGTCATCACCTCTCAGGAGAGAGAGATCACCATCAAGAAGCCGAACGGCGAGACCACGACGACTACGGTGCGCATCTGGAACGAGACGGTGTCCAACCTGACTCTGATGGCGCTGGGCTCGTCAGCGCCAGAGATCCTGCTCTCCGTCATCGAGGTGGTGGGTCACAATTTTGAGGCCGGATCTCTGGGTCCCAGCACCATCGTGGGCAGCGCTGCGTTCAACATGTTCATCATCATCGCTATCTGCGTCTATGTGGTGCCGGAAAACGAAACCCGCAAGATAAAGCACCTGCGGGTGTTTTTTGTCACTGCTGCCTGGAGCATTTTCGCCTACATCTGGCTCTATCTCATCCTGTCTGTGTTCTCTCCCGGGGAGGTGGAGGTCTGGGAGGCAGTGCTCACCTTCCTCTTCTTCCCCCTCTGTGTGCTGCAAGCCTGGATCGCAGACCGCCGCCTGCTCTTCTACAAGTACGTCCACAAGCGTTATCGCGCCGACAAGACCCGCGGCATCATCATCGAATCAGAGGGAGACGCTATGTTCACCAAAATGGACTTGGAGATGGACGGGCAGGGTGTGAACTCCCACACTCACCCCAAGGAGGCTCTGGATGGGATGCTGGAGGGGGTGGAGGAAGGTGGAGGGATGAACTCGGAGCAAGACCAAGAGGAGGAGGCCCGTCGGGAGATGGCGCGCACCCTGAAAGACTTGAAACAGAGGCACCCGGAGAAAGACATGGAGCAGCTGATCGAGATGGCCAACTACCAGGTGCTGGTGCAGCAGCAGAAGAGCCGGGCCTTCTATCGCATCCAAGCCACGCGCATGATGATCGGAGCCGGGAACATCCTGAAGAAGCACGCCGCCGACCAGGCCAGGAAGGTGGTGAGCTGCCACGAGGCCAGCGGGCAGGAGGAAGATCCCAACACCATCTACCTGCAGTTCGACCCGTCGCACTACCAGTGCTTCGAGAACTGCGGCTCAATGAAGCTGTCGGTGAGCCGGCACGGAGGAGAGAGCGGCTGCACTGTTAAGGTGAGAGCAGAAGGGATGACAGAAATGTAGCAAACGCTCAAGGTCAATTTAAAATCAACTCCAGCGAATTGAGGGATAAAATATTAATAATTCAGCATTTTATTATAACTCCACCCTCTAAATATTTAATCGAGCTTCTTTCCTCACAGGTGGACTACCGGACGGAGGACGGGACTGCCAACGCCGGCTCAGACTACGAGTTCGCGGAGGGCACTTTGGTCTTCAAGCCCGGAGAGACGACTAAAGAGTTCACTGTTGGCGTGATCGACGATGACATCTTTGAAGAGGACGAGCATTTCTACGTGCGCCTCAGCAACCCACGCATCGTGCACCGCGCCGAGGTGGCCGTCCTGGAGCCGAGCTCCATCACCTCCAGCAACAGCAACGTGGGTCTCTCCCCCCACATCCCTCCGAAGGCCGCCCTGGGCAACGCTCACACCGCCACGGTCACCATCTACGACGACGACCACGCCGGCATCTTCACGTTCGAGAGCAACTCCACGAGGGTCAGCGAGAGCGTCGGCAACATGCAGGTGAAGGTCCACCGGACGTCCGGGGCGAGGGGGAAGGTGGCGGTGCCCTACCACACCGTCGAGGGCACCGCTAAAGCCGGGGAGGACTATGAAGAGGTGTCCGGCAAGCTGGAGTTTCAGAACGACGAGACCATGTGAGTGCCGGTTCTCTCTTCTTTATGTTTGCTGTTGCTCCTCATCACTTGATTAAACACAACAACCCACACATTTGTATGTTAAACAGTCCTGCTAGATTACTGTAAGTTATCTATTCTGGTAATAGATGAAAGGACTATTTTTATGAGTCACAGATACGTTCGCTCTGAGAAGTTGAGATCTTTCAGAGGGATGACGTGGGAGGATAAGAGGATATAATTGTGCAGCAGATAATGAAACATTGAGGCTGATGGGAAAAAGAAGAAGGGGCAGGAGAAGACGAAAAGGAGGAAGAAGAAGAGGCAAAGCGTTCTGTGAATGAATGCAGGTTTAAAATGCAGCCCTTTGGGATTTCTGTTCAGGTTATATGTGAGTTCATTGTAATGCAGCATAATAAAGACTCCCCCCCCTGCAGAAAACAAAGCATGCGAGCGACAGAGTGGAGGGAAGAAAATCAGACAGGTGACTTGCACGGCGGCGAGGAGCAGGAACAGGTGCATGTGAAGAAGCCTGTGTGATTATTTTAACAAAAGGATTCATGGATGCAGCAGCAGCAGAGAGGCAGATAAAAAGATTGGGGAGGAAGAGTGCAGAGAGAGATGGAGAGAGAGCACAGAAAGTGTGATTTTTTTTTCCAGTTTCTCTCTTGAACACTGTGTGGAAGGGTTGGCTGGATGATGAGTACACTTGTAGTGTTTGCTTTATGATGAGAGGAGCAAAGGACCTGGCAGGTACCTACAGTGGTGATTTTGTTTTTTTTACTTCTCCTAAAAAAACAAAACAAAATGCCCTCGGCTCTATCAAGCTCATCACAGAATGATTTAATGAACACCAAAGGAGAAAACAAAGGACCAAAACGTGTCAGATGAGTCCGTCTGTGCGAGGAGAATTACAGCGCTCATGTGTAGGTGTATTGTGTAGGTCGGCCGAGTGGGAGGAAAGGCAGGTGATACACGGTGTCAAAGAGAATGCAGATCTCCCTGTTTATCTTCGTTTCCCTCGCAGCGCAGGTAAAAATTTATTGAACACACCGGTCCGTGTTTAGAGGATGTTCACGCGTGCATTTGCTTTGCTTTTTTTTCTAGTCTGTGTGTATTATTGAAGGCGCACTTGTGCGGTAGGATCCACTTTAAACCCACATCAAACAAAATGTCGCTCCAAAGGGGAACTAAAAAGAGCTGCTGGAGCATCCAAAGCAATTAAAGAGAGTGAAGAGGGGTTAAAGGAGTCCCAAAAGTTCTCTCCGTGCCGCAGACAGCTACAGAGGCTGCAGTTAATGAGTCAATAGTGGGTAACAATGTGAGATGAGAGGCAGGCAGCTTGTATCTGCACTCAAATGGAGACTGAGCAGTAGATAAAATCCTCACCTACTGAGCCGAGGCTCTGCGCATCAGGCTGTGGCAAGCCGACAGCGACGCGAGCATCTTGCACACTTTATCAGGAGCTTTCCTCAACAGCCGCCATGTAGCGGGAGATGAAGGTCCGCGGAGAGCAGGACCCAGCAGGGCAGGACGCGTCGCTATCAGAAAATGAATGAAGAGAAAACCCCAGATGCAAAGGGAACTGTCAAAGCTGTGGCTCAGATGCTCCGGTGCTCCTTAGAATAGCAAGCGAGGACTTAAAGGGGAAACGCAGGAGTCCTCTGATCATGGGTGGAAAAAAGGTTCGACTCAGATCTTGAATCACAAGTGCCAGTAACAGGGGCTCATCTTTGAATCTAAATTAATTTTCTAATCTTATTGTTGGAAAAGGGCAGCATTCAGCTCCGTGTTGCCACCTGAAGCTGTTTATCAGAGCTTGATGTTGAGCCACGGAGCCAAAGATCCCCCCCTGAGCCTAAATCCACCAAATCACGTTTTCTTTTCCTGCTTTATGCTACTCAGCTGCTCGAGTCAAACTGAATTTTTTATGAGGCTGTTTTAATTCGGAGAGCTCAGTCAGTCTTGTTAAGAGATGCAGGTGGAACTCCTTCACTGCGAGTCTTTGCCCCGTCAGCTCAAACCATCTCCGCATTTTACGTATTTGTTTTCTCCGAGTGGATGAACTTGCATACGCCGTGTTAAATGCATATCTGCGCCTCTCGGTGCTCAGCAGGCTGCCAAAGTTCATCTTTCAAACAGAGCTGGCTTTTTCTTACCCGAGCGTTTCCCTGGGCGTCCAGGACAAAGAGCTGACACTCGGCAGCAGGCCTCCAGGCACCTTTGTGTGTGTGTTACTCCTGCTTTGTGTGTCTTTGTGTATCTGCCTTTTTCCCGGTTCGAGCAAACAGAGGAGCAAAAGAGGTGGAAGCCAAGTTTTTAAGCGTTTGACACGGAGCCAGGAGGAACGGTTTTAAAAATCTAGCCATGCAGTTAAATAATAATTTAGCATCTAAATTCTGCACTGCAGTAAATAGATTATGATGTACAGACACAAACCTCTGAGCCAGAATAAACAGGCTGACATAGAGGACCGTTTTACATTCTGTTTTTTTTTTTTTATGGATTAGAAGGAAATCTGCATAGACCCTTTGATGCCTGTGTGTAGCATAAGCTCGTATCTGTTTTTGTGAGCGCCTCAAAAATGTGTGTCTCACCATACACTAGTTGAGGCTGAAGTGGATAACGGGGGCAGTTACATAAGCTAAGATGAAAGAGATGTGAGGGGATCACTTCTGAAAAGGAAAATCAATACCCTGATATTCTTTATTTCTCACGCCTAATGTAGTCAGGATCAATAACATCCCGGGCTTGCCGAAAAACACGGATAGAAGAGGGGCGGCGGAGTCAGGGACGGGTGCCGTTAACACATTTAGACCCTTCTAAAATCATATGCTTGGTTCTGTGGAAGGTTTGAGCAGCGCTGATATGAGGCATTCATTCTTATAATTTATGCTCTCGGCAATCTAATTACAATACTTGATATAATTGCACTATACTTTTTATTCTTCCTGGTGACACAGTTCAAAGGAAGCATTGTTGGTCAATCAGCCCACCGCCGTGACTCAGACCGAATTATCTCAACGGGAACAGGATTAACGCGTATATAGAAATGGACAAACCGAACGTTACCCAGAGGTTACCTGAACAGCGGTGTTGAAGTTCAGTGTGTGGGGGAGCTCCAGCTGTTGCCATCTTGGCAGAGCCAGACTCCTCCTAACTCCCGGCTAATCCAAAAAAAAACGAGCCAAGAGTTGGTGCAAACAGCTCTGAGTGTGTCCTTAGACGGCATCCACCTCTCACTTAAAAGCGCCTTTAATTATGCATAACTTTAAGCCTTATTACAATTTAAACAGATAAGTTTTATCAAAATTAAGCCCCAGTACAGCTGTCATGAGTGGAAAAGAATTATCAATAAAATCTGTTTTTAGTACCAGGCTGTAAATGTGTTTATTTCTGCTGTAGCGTTGGACATTTTAACATAGTGGAAAACAGCCTCAAGTGGCCGCTAGAGGAACTGCAGTTTGTGACATTTGGCATTAATTCTTTTTGAATGATTTAAAGCTGTGATATGTGACATTTACGGTTGAATAAAAAAAAAAATCCCAGTGTCACATATTGTGTAGATACGTGTAGTTGTATCATCCCAGATGTTTTCAACAAGGTTTATACCCAGAGGAACTCATCACATTATTCAGTGCTGCTGCTTTCATTTTGGTCGCCTGTCGGTGGCGTCTTATCTCCTGTAACCAAGGAAACACAGTAAATGTCAGAGAGTTCACAGGGTAGAAGAGGAAGTTGGCAACTAATTAGCCAACACTTTTAGCATCATTATTGTGACTAAGATTGAATTAACCACATGATGCTAACTATCCATCCATCATCTATACACCGCTTAATCCTCACTAGGGTCATGGGGGGCTGGAGTCTATCCCAGCTGACTCAGGGTGAAGGCAGGTTCACCTGGACAGGTAACCAGTCTATCACAGGGCTACACTTAGAGACAGACAACCAAGCACACTCACATTCACACCTACGGACAATTTAGAATCACCAATTAACCTCAGCATGTTTCTGGACTGTGTGGGAGGAAGCCGGAGAACCCGGAGAGAACCACGGGGAGAACATGGAGACTCCACGCAGAAAGATCCCGGGTGTCCTCATCGACACGCGAACCGGCGACCTTCTAGCTGTGAGGCGACGGTGCTAACCACTGAACCACCTTGCAGCTGATGCTAACTAAAGCAGCTGAATGGGTCGTCAGCTTATCTAATGGGAAGATAGCAGTTAACATTATGCTAGCTAATGTCACTTGCAGTTATTTCATAAGAGCAACACAACATAAGCATACGTGACCATATTAGGCATTTACAAAAAAAACAGTAGAATTTACCATTTCCAATGATACTTGCTTCTCTTTGTGCCAAAAGGTAATCTGGTTTTAAAATTCCAGCAAATGTCTACGTCTCCAGGATACAGCTAAGATCATTTATACGAAAACACAGATAATGGATTGGATTTGCATGACGATGGTTCAACAGGGGTTAAAAGATGAGCACAGTGTGAAAGAAGGCGATCCTAGACTCTGGTGGACCCAAAGCAAACTTGCCATTTGGCTGGTTGGACACGTCTGCAATTAGACTGTTATATGTGACCACTTCAGTTAATATAAGTATCCTCATCATCCACCATCATGGTTCTGATACTGTCACATTACAGACTATCTCCCCTATACAGTTATAAAAACACATCTCCTGACACTGTCCTTGATTTAAAGAGCAATAAAGAAAATCTGCAAGTATTAGCATATCAGATGATGGAATATCTCAGTGGCCTTGACTGTTCTGGGAAATAACAGATACAGTAGGTATGGCCAGGCCTTATACTGACAAAGATCAGTGCTTCAAAGTAAAGTCTGTAGAACTACCCTGAACACATCCTTGGCTTTACTGGGTTATCGCTCAACATTCTCCCAGTACCACCAGCAAGACTGTGTTTGTCCGGTGAAACATTTCACCATTTATAGGATCAGACTGACACTAAACATTGCACAGACATTCGTGGTCCCTGGAGGATGAATC